ACACAAAGGAGTTTGTCCTTGAATCATGTTCCAGGGACCCTGTTCCACAACTGCTCACTTCTCAGGCAGAAATCCTTCTCCTGCTCAGGATCCACTCCAGTTATTCCCTTCCCAGACATGGAATGCTTCTGTAGAACAAAAGCTTCTCTATGGGGAAGGCTATGTTTGACCTCTTGACTAAAGTGCGAAAGGGGGAAGTAGCACCATAGTTCACCCCTGCATGCCTGCAGAGAAAACATAGCAGGAGGTCAGTCTACAGTGGCCCACATTTCCTCTTCAGCCGCCAAAGAAGTTACGCTGTTGTTGGTGCGCTGGGATTTGAAGCAGAGTATGCATGCACGACATCTTAGCTCTGACAAAGCTTCTTTTTTTTTGTTTTTTTAAATGTCAGTTATTTTCTGCTACATGTCCTAAAAGCTACAGAAGAACTAACAGCAAGCGAATGAAAAACTGCATTCACAAACCGTCTGACCTCGGCATGAGTTTCAAGAATTGCAAACCATTTTCCATTTCCTGTGGGTTTAAATGTAAGCAGCAAGCAAAGCGCAGCTCCCAAAAGTAGCACACAGCCATGCCGGTAAAATGTCGTGTGCACACACACTTTTTGTAGCCACAACCACTTCCTTGTCAATGTTAGAGAAATGAAGTCAAAGTCTAATCATCTTCAAAAATACAGCTCCAGCATGCGTCAGTACCAAAGAAACCCCCAGGGTAATGACTAGTTTTCGAGATGATCACTTTCATGAAAACCAAATCACCTCTAAGTTCTTTTTGTGGAGAGTAACTTGAGGTAATCAGTGAGATAGGTTATCCATGGGGGGGGGGCAAAGTTCTTCCTAAATGCTATGCAACATAACCCAGGCTGTACTGGACTTTAACTGAAACATGCTCTAGGTGACAGAGGGCTATCATGGAGTAATGAGCCAAAAAGAATGATTACTAATCAGACAGAGGATTGACTTGTTTTGCCCCTTTTGCTTTCTTATCTATGCATTCAGAGTTTGGGTGGGAGTCAGCTGTTCTTAACTCTTGTCTTAAACCAATTATTTAGCTCAAACAGTGTGGTTGTGATAGGTTTGTTCTTTTGGACTGTTGTAGGGAGGATGTCTGCCTGCATTCTAAAGTAGGGAATGCATCAACTTCCAAAGCACAGCAACAATATTCAGACTTCAGGGAATTAGCCTGTCATTCTTGGCCACAATATATGCAAATGGTCTTTATTAGGATTTGAAAGCAAGGATCATTAAAGTATCCATCAGACTAACTTATTCCTTCAGTTCCTTCACCCACATGAAGGCATCAATAGCCAGCTTGCATTCATTTGGTATACATGTGCAGATCAGCGTAAACCTATTGAGCCACTGCTCTTAAGTACTCTGTGGGTCATCAGCTGGGATTCACTGTGTTTACAGCAAGCAAGTATTTATTGCTAAGAGTTTAAAAAAAGAATTAGGTCTGAGAGAGGTAGAGTGCCCAAACCCAAAACAAAATGCTTTCTATTTTTACTGCTCAGGTTATTGAAGTTGGCAGGTTGAGAAGGCTAAAGGGGATTTTAAGGTGCTGCTTGTATAACAGTCATGCCCAGGACCTAACGGGGACTGGAAGGTGCAGCTTATGTAACATTTGTGCCCAGGGCTGGAACAAAAAAAAAATTCCTCTGAAGATAAAAAGCATGTCTGCTTTCTAAATCCCCCACATATGGTTGCAGTGTTTTTTGGAGGGAGTCGACTGTCAGCTTCGTGCACTGCTAGAACTGACGGAGCACCTAACATAAATCCACCATGTCTCCACATTACTTAACGTTGTTATACAAGCACAGCAGGGCTATGCAGGAATCTTACTATTACTCAAAAATGAGCAAGCAGTTTGTTTCGAGTAAAGGAGTAGAAAACGATGCATGCTGGGGCTCATACAGAGCGGGTACAAACTTCACACTTCGCTGCTTCTTTCTTTCTGTTAAAATATTTTTACAAAGTGGTTAGGTGGCGGGTGTTTTTATTTTTTGCCTATTTCCTTCCCCTGTTTTAGTGAATTTATTTCAGTATATGAGGTTGTGAAGGAGCTTATCTGAAGCTGCTGATATGACCATTCTTATCTCTGCAATATTCCTGACAAGAGGAAAGTACTCACACAGGCGGGGTACCTAACACTGTACTGATTTATGTTGGACTCGCTTGCAGTGTGTAGATGTGGATGAACTTTGTTTCTCTAACACAAATGAGGGGGAAATGGTTATATAATTGTAAAGAAAGCAGTAATGGCTTTATATTTTCTTTTCCCTTTTTGTGCGATAGGTTGATAATTTGCATTGCCAACTTATGCGACTGAAACTGAGTGGAAGGGTGTGTTTGTAACTTTCGAGGAGCAATTTATTATTACAAGTGCAAATGAAAGTGAGCCAAGCTAAACTTCACTGGGTGGTTATCCACTCAAAGTTATGTTCTTCTCATCTTATCCTTAGTTTCTTTTTATTCAGTTTTCCTTCCTGTGTTTTTCTTCCAGTGCCGCCGGTGGCGAAATCTTCAACCAGTGTGTTGCGGACAACGACGAAGCCTTTACAGAGAAAGATGTGATACGACTGGCCAGGCAGATCCTGAACGGGGTGGCCTTTCTGCATCGGAATAATGTGGTGCATCTGGATCTGAAGGTAAATGCACAAGAAATGTTAATGACAAATATAGGACGGTGCGTTCTCTCAAGAGTCAGAATGGGGAAGATATTATTTCTCTTATGCAACCACAGCTCATTCAGCGTGCCACGACTTTGTTCCCGTGAGGAATCACTTTATAAAAGCATCTGACCTAACTATCATGTTTTCTTTGATGTGTCTTGAGGTAACAAAGCAGCCGTCACTGAGATTTTCTTTTTTTTTCACGTCTCCTTTCTTCGCATTTCACGAATTAATCGTGATGCGTCGGGCTTCTGGTTACACATTACACAATGTGTTCTAGATAAAATTATCCGTTGAGATGCACTAAATTGTTTTAGAAGGGCTTTCAAATGTGTCAAACTGTTTTCAAAAGAGAAATCATTCATTATCGAAGCATTCCTGTGGTTCCTCAGGCTTTGCTGGCTCAAGTCTGATATTTGGATTTCTCTTTCTTGTATGTATCCCATTGTTCCAGCTAAATCTGGCATTAGGCCAGCCTGGCCCGAATTTAGGTTGCATGTACACTACAGTATTTACATAGACTAACCATAGAGCCATTTAAGTGTTTGGCAGAAATGCCTTTACCTCTCTTCAGAATTGTCTGATAGGCTTATTGGATGATCTGGGCTCAAAGGCCCAATTAGCAAGTTGACTGACGACCTAGACCCCTAATCCTGTCAGGATCAGTTTTCCCAAATGCTTTGACTCGTAGATGCGTAATTGATTACCTCAGGCTGCTCAAATAATCAGTCTTTATCTCCTTATGTAACCTTTGCCTAATCCGCATGTGTGCCCTCTCCAGCCTCAGAACGTCTTGCTGACCAGTGCCACACCTCTAGGGGACATTCGTATTGTGGACTTTGGCTTGTCTAGACGAATGGACAACATCACAGAAGTCAGGGAGATCCTGGGTACCCCAGAGTATGTGGGTAAGTCCTGCTTTCAGCTACAAATTACCCAAAACTACATGTCTCTTTTTCTTTTTTAAAATGTGAGCACATTTTAAGGTGACTAACTTTGGTCATGTGTTTCTGTTGCAGCCCCAGAGATCCTGAACTATGAACCCATTAGCACTTCTACAGATATGTGGTAAGTGTGCTACTTTAGATAGTATTTCCACTCATGTTAGAGGACTCCACACACCGCTAATTTAATCTAGATAAATATTCAAGACAATGACATCACCTCCCTAACGTGCAAAAGACAATTTTGTGTCTAGACCTTTGACCACAAGACAAACCTTGCTACATACTTGCATTTAATTGGCTCATCATAGAATAGTGGAAGCCAGCCAGATGTGTGGGGCTTTGCAATACACTGCGTAACCATAAATGACAATGACTTGCCCCATAAACACCTTCTCCTTTCTCCTTCCTCTTTACCAGGAGTATTGGGGTTCTGACTTATGTCATGCTCACGGGCGAGTCTCCTTTTCTGGGTGCTGACAAACAGGAGACATTCCTCAACATCTCTCAAGTCAACATAGACTATTCACCGGATACATTCGAGGGCATCTCCTCGCTGGCTGTTGACTTCATCAAATCTTTGTTGGTTAAAAACCCAAGGTGAGGCTCTTTTTAAACAGTAAAGGTGAAGATGAATAGATGTTATGGCTTAATGGGGAGAGTTTCCATCAGCATCACTTTGAGCAGATTAACACACCAAGGATGTGAGTCAGGTTCACACCGGCACGAAAGCACACGTCTGCACACGTCTAAATGAGCGTTTGTGGTAACAAGATTTGCGTCACTTGGGCGAGAAGTCGTTTCCTTTCTTGCAAATGCTGGTTGTGAATTTTACTCATTTAGCAAACTTTTAGTTCAGCATTTTTGGATTGACGTTAGATCAAACACTGATGCACGTCTTACCTTTTCCCTGCATTACCATTTCGTTAAATTCAGCGGAACCTCTCAAAGATCTTTAAAAAAGATACCTTAATGTGTTTAGAAAAGCATCAGCAGATGCAGACACACAATCTCCAGTCAGTATCATTTAATTGCAGGAGTACAGTGGCAGCACTGGAAAAAGGCAGATATTTCACCGTCTGAGTAATCGGTTAGAGACGGAGGGGAAAAAATCTTGACAGCAAATGGCGTCGTCTTTGTGGCTTTTCGTGCCCAATGTTGAAAAGTAATTTGGCCAACTTGTAAGAAAATGTCTTGAGTGAATCTGAAGATCTAGGCAATCAATCTGTTATGTAATGTCTCTGGGATTTTTCCACTTATGCACAGTGTTATTGTGTTTGTGTATACAGGAAGAGGGCCACAGCAGAGGAATGTCTCAATCACCCCTGGCTGAACTCCTGTCCTCACTCCCACCCACACCTCCACAACAGGTCGCCGTCCTCTTTGGATGAGCCGGAGACGAGTCAGTCCGAATCGGAACCAGAGAGTCCAGCTCCGTCCCCTGAGCTAGACGTGATTGGGTCATTTCTCAGGTGCCCAGGCCAAGGTGAGCTGAAGGCGGGCCGTGGCGCCTTCTCTTTCAGTGAGCCCCCTTTCTGCACAAGACCCGAAATCCAGCAGGAGCTCATTTGCTGACTGATGTTTCACAGTTGGAAAGGGACTCAGTAAATTGAAACTCCATGGAGCAGAACCTGAAAACCTTTAAGCCTTGAGGTGCTTGGTTTTGATCGGAACCAGGACCGTGTTTGAGTGGCTGCAGTTTGCCCGCCTGCTCCTACTGCTGCGACGTCTGTGAGCTTGATACCTCTGCCTGCGCCTGTGTGTGTCACTGTGTATATGTTAAATAATACACGCTACTCAGTGCTAGTTAGAATGATTGTACAGGAGGAATATGAGAGGGCTTGAAGATGCAGGACAAAGGAGTGGGAGAAAACAAGGACTTTGTTGAGGACTGCACTGCTGCCTTATGTGATAAATCTGAACTTGGCTCAGCTGAACACTGGCTAGTTCACCCCTGCACACATACTGCTTTATCCCCAATTAGCCTTCGGACGGGGTTTCAGAGGAGAGATGGCCTCCCACTTCTTTGGATGACTTCACTCAGTGTGTGCTCTCATCTAAACAAGTTACGTTTCAGTGACCCAGACAGACCTTCTGTGACGAGTTGAAGAAAGTAAAGCATTCTGACAGGTGGATCTACTTAAGAAAAAAGAATGAAAGCAATGAGCAGCGCCCTATGCGAAAGCCAGACGTTAACTGTATTGTTTATTAATGTGTCTTGTACCATTTTAGCCCCTCAAACGGTCAAAGCCACATCGATGCCTGAGGTTAAGATGGATATGGTAGCATTGTTATTATTGAGGACAATCATGAGCACTTTTATTTTGTTATTGGACTTTTGTGTAAAACCAAAGGCTCATCAAGCACAGTTAGGTGTCACACGATGTACTGTACATATTAACCAGTCTGCAACACCCTCTGTTTTTGTCACGTGACCTGTTTTTTTT